GCATGCGCCGAGCGCCAACGGCCGCGCGGCGCCGCCGCCCCGGGACGGGCGAAATGCCCCGAACGGCCCCGGCCGCGCGGAGGGGACGGGGCCCCGGCCGCCCTCCTCCCACAGCCCGGGCTCTGCTGCCGCTGGGCCCCCGCGGCGCGCGGGCTCAGCAGGGAACGTGCCCTGCTTTATCAGCAGCGAATCTCCTTGATTTATCGGGGAAATCAAGCCCTAATTGCTTCAATTATAACACGTCCTCTCGCTTCCCTGGTTCAGGACACTGGTGTCTCCCTGCTTTATYCCCAGCAAGAATCCCCTGGGAAGCGAGGGTTTTTTTGCACTGTCCCGCACCAAGGTGCAATGGGGCGGCACAAGAAGCCATCGCCACGGATTTTCTGTAATTATATCACCAGACTTGACGATAAATTAGGTAATTTGTCAAAAAGCTCCAGCTTTCTCGATCGCGTCTCGCTCAGGGACGCGGGGATCGCAGCCCCACGGGGCGGCTCCTGCCTCCCCTCTGCTGCCGCTCAGCCAGCAACAAGTCCCGGAAATAATGATCCAGTTTTAAACGGAATAAGTGAAAACAAGAACCTGGAATCTACTCCTTTCTGGAAATTCAAAAATCAGACCTTATTGACCATATTTTTAACGAGGCATTTTAGCATTTAAGGCAAAATCTGCCAAAAGTGGACATTTTAAAGCAGTTTTGTGCATGTTGGACTTCACTTGCACTTCTCCCCTTCTCTTATTGTTCCTCACTGTCTCCTTCAGTATGTACGAATTCTATACATTATAGTCTTTCATAAATACACTCTTCTTTGCATTGCTCTAGACCTTTCCAAGGTGTTTAGGTAAGAATTTTGCAAAACACACTTYGGAAAGCTAATTCAGCTAAGTTCACATTCAGGTCAAAATATTCGTTTCATGCTAATCAAAAGTTTGAATAAAGCTACAAAGTTCCTTATTTTCTTTTTCATGCAGTTAATAATAATAGTAATTCACTACCACTTTTTACTCTCCATGAATAGAATTGTTATGCTCATTTGAGTGCAGATTCTGATGTCCACTGCAGTGCAGAACAGAGGAACCTTACTGCAAAAACAAAATCCAGCTTATAAATTATATAAAACAGCAGCAAGGAAAAAACAGCAGTATTTGTGTCTACAATTTAGGGGCTGCCTGCATGCAGTTGAATTTTCTGCTATGAATGCTGTGAGAGAATTCATTTACTGTTCCTAGATCTGTCAACAAAACTGGTGTGTGCTGATGGAAAGTTTCCTAGAAGATGCAAAATAGAAAAAGTCACACATCTGCTCTCGCAATAATGGGGAAAAAAAGCAAATTACAAATGATGCGAATTTGCTCTTTCTAAACCTCAAACACTAGCCAAAAGCATTCATAATTATGCTATCCTTTGTATCTTTTGGTGTTAAGTCTGCAAATGACTTGCCTCATAATTCTCGTACGTAACTTTCAAATAAATTAGGCTGCTTTAAGACTGAGAGAAAAAAATATGAGGCTTTTATGCTTTTCAGACCCCTTCAAGTAACCTTTAAGTTGATAGCAATGTCATGAAAACACCATCTTAGCTTAAACCATTATGAAATTAAATCTGCGTATTGGTTTCTTGTGGTAACTACTCTCTGATTTGTTATTTAGAAAATAATATAGAGATGCAAATATATTGAGATATAGATATGGACAGAGATCCAAATAGGCAGTTTCAAATGTAAGAATAAGACAACAGTTCTCTGTAGATGTTTATTCTACTTACAGTAACAAAAACCTGTGAAGTCCCATATTTTAATGTACAGTGATATACTTTGCCATATAAAATACAATTTACAGAAATTTCTATCAAGTAAACCTAAACAAACACACTTGATTTTTGCATACTTTTATGTATGTCCTTAAATTAGAAACATCTCATTAAAAAAAAAAAAATCTTACACCGTAGTAGATGTTTGTATTTAATACCACCTCTCTGCATTTTAACATTTTGTCTACAGGTTCAGAATACAGGCCCTCATTTCGGCCAGCGAATCCTTGATGTGTAAGGACTTCAAAGATGCACCGATATAAACTGTAAAATCTGTAGTGATACACATGGCATAAATGCTACTTGTAATGTAGTCTTCAAGATGCAAGTGCTTATAAGAATCTAATTTTACATCTGCAAAACTCTTTTATAAAAATAACAAAATATTTAGCCAACTGTTAACTTACGTGGTCAAATAAATTAGCAGGGTTTTTCTTTCAGACTTTGGAATTACGCACTTGAAAAATACATGAGAAGTAGCAGTGTACTGTATTTCACAGTGAAAGCTTTCCCTCTTGAATCATACTATTTAGCATTACCACTCTTTCAAGCTTCATGTTTTGCAGGTACACCTTCTTCAGTGGGTAGTTTTATATACACCATCAGATAAACAGGGTCTGACAAAACAAAGTGACACGCTTTTTTTTTTTCAGGAGCAAAATATTTTTGACTGGAAAGTACAGGAAAATGGAGAAATTTCTTAAGTTTCTGGCAACATTCTGCAAGAACAAAACAGAGAGAAAACTAAATCCAAGTAAATCAGAGTAACCAAAGATACAGTGGCCTGTTTAACAATCTTATTTTTCTTTCCATTTGATACATTAATTCATACAAGTTTTAAAGTCTTTGCCAATAAATGTCTGATTTTTTTTTAAAGTTGCTGGTTATAAAGGTGCTACTTTTATATGCTCTTTAATTATAGTTCCGTAAAAATGCAATATTTAAAACTCCTCGGTCTCACGAAAATAACTAAGTAGGACCTATTTCTTGGTTGGACACTTAACAGATGGATTACAAAACACAAAAATACCTGTATATAAAAAGGAAGATAGTGCATTTTAAGCTTATAACATTCCATTTTCAAATCCTCCATCAGTTATTACAAATTATTAGTAACACTGTTCTTCTGCAGCCTTTTCCTAGATACACACGACCCATCCATTGTAAAATAATCAGGACAGCAATATTGGACTCCTTTTATAAAGTGTGTGCTGTAGGAACAACTTTGACACCAAAATATCACATAAATGAGATGTAAAGGTATGGCTCCTAAGGTCTTGATTAAATTCTCTTATAAAATTACAATTCAAGTTACTGGAAAACATAACTTTATAATCTTAAAAAGCAATATGCTCTTCTTAGATTTTTTCCATTTCGGTATTGTAAATGGAAATTTTAAGATAAAGATGCAAGTAGAAAAAAAACAAAATTTCAGAACGGGTAACGCTGTGTATTTTCATAAGAAAAAGATTATGCACAAAATGCAGCAAGTTAAAGTCCGGTATGTTCTTGCCTTTTATCCATTTGAACATTTTCATTCACAGTTGTTCAAAAACTGCTCATTTGTCAGTGCATCTTGTAAGGCTAGTATTGCAACAGCATTTTGTAAAGTCGAGAATATACAGTATATACAAAAGATCTGGAGTAAGTTCTTGTTATTTATGGAAAATACCTTCCAAGTATCTCTATGACTGATCAGTGGAAGATGAAGCTTCAGCTTCTGTTGGTTTTTGTCCTTCCTTCTGTGTTTCTGGCTTGATGTCTTTACCAATTTCCCTGCTTTTACTCCGATCCTTGCGATCTTTCCCTCTTTCACGGTCTCGATCTCTCTCACGATCTCTCTCTTTCTCCCGGCTTCGATCCCGGTCCCTGTCTTTGTCTCTGTCACGATCTCTGTCTCTGCTTCTCGATCTGTCTCTGTCACGTCTTCGGTAGGAGTCTCGCTCTCTGGTTCTGGCTCTCTCCCGGTCTCTGTTTCTTTCCCATTCTTTAGCTCGCTCCGAATCTTTTTCCCGATCCTTGTTTTGGTTTCTGTCTCTGTTCTTATCCCATTCCTTGTCTCTATGTCTCTCCCAGTCCCTTTCTCTGTCTCTATTCCAGTTTCTTCCACGGTCCCTTTCCCAAGGTCTGCCATGTTCTCGATCCCTTCGCCTTTCCTCAAAGGGTCTACCTTGTCGATTATCTGCTTGCTGAGGCTCTGGCTGATCTAAAACCTTGTCTTTATTTCCTCCCTCGTATCTCTCTCTGGGTCTCCCTTCAAAGGCCTGGCCTCTGAACTCGAGATTTTTGCCTTCTCGGAAATCAGGTCCTGACCACTGTGCTTCTGACTCGGGTCCTTGTCCAGATACGTTGGAAAGAGGTGCAGATGGTCCGGCTTCCTCCCACATCTCTTTYCTGTGCGGTGGATGACTTGGAAGGTCTAGCAGTGGTCTTGGGGTTGGCTTCATACCTTGGGASGACTGACCTTGGAAGTGAAATCTAGAAGGGGGAGGCTCATTTTGTTCTGGGAACAGTGCAGGCGAGGCTCCTCTTGGTCCTCCAAACTGAAGTGGTGCCGGACCTCTCTGGTTAGCAAATCGGGGTGGTGGACTCCCTCTCCGTTCCTCAAACGGTTGTGGCAGAAGTCCCCTCGGGCCTGGCACGTGATTTGTAGCTGCACCTCTTTGTCCTTCAAACTGATTTGGGTGAGGCCCTCTCGGTCCCCCAAAATGGCTAGGGGGTGGGCCTCTTGGGCCTCCAAACTGAGGGCCTCCTCTCTGTCCTTTAAACTGAGCTGGTGGTGGTCGTCTTTGACCTCCGAAGGGAAAAGGYGAAGGTCCCCTGTTTCCCATAAACTGAGGGGGCTCCGGTCCCTCAAACTGTCCTGGAGGCCTAATCATTTCGTTATATTGGGAATCTGAGAATTCCCTTTGCTCCATGTGAGGTTCCCTATGATCTTCAAACTGAGATGGTGACATTCCTCTTGGAACACCRTAAGATGGGGAGGGGCCCCTGTTCTCACCAAAAAGAGATGGTGGTCCATGCTGTGCAGAAAACAGTGAAGGAATGGGTCCCTTCTGACCTCCAAATCTGCCAGCTGGAGGTCCTCTTTGCCCATCGCTATTTGGAGAACCATGCTCTTCTGAAAACTGTGGTGCTGGTCCTCTAAAATTAGGTCCATGAGGTCCTACAGGTGCATTGAGCATCATTGGTGCTGCAGGCCCTCCTTTCTGGCCAGACAAAGAAAACGGAGGCCCAACTCTGTTCTCTTCAAAGTGCTGTGGGAGAGACCCTCTTTCTCCCTCACTTTGCACAGCTACAGATTCAGCTTGTTCTGCAAACGGGTGAGACTGAGCGTTTCTTTGTTCTTCATATTGCACTGATGAAAGTCCCCTTTCGGGTTCAAAGTGACCCGGTGTCTTTTCCTGAGGCGTAAATACTGTACTTGAAAAGGCGTCCCTTCCTATCACATCCTTTGATTCATTTGACCATGGTACTTGCAAAGGCTGACTGTCACTCGATGTGGAGAAATTAGGCTGAAAAGATGTACTTGGAGGTGTCGGGAGAAGTACTTTACGTAAAGGTTTGGATACAGAAGGATCTCCAGAGGCTGCTGGAATCACATTTTCCAGATTAACTTGAGCAGTGTTTTCAAATTTGCTGTTAGCTGCCTCTTTCTGAGACACTGCAGAAGCTTTTTCACTTGAAACCCAATTATCACCACTATAACTTGACTGGGTAGTAGCAATTGAAGTTTTATCTTCCTTACCAAGTGTAGTCTGCAAAGCATTTGGGAGACTTGCAGGAGGAATTTCTCTTGGGGATACCTCATTCTGTACCAACTGTGGCTTTATCCGAGAATCAATACTGTCATTAGTCTCTGTTGCCATCCTTCTAGCTTGCCGAGGATCTCTGTTTTGTCTTGGGTCGCAGGCCTGGTTTAAAACTTGCGCTTGCTGATTTAAAGATGAAGGTAAATCTATTTTGGGGGCAGCTTGCTGGTTCTGATGGAATAATTCAGTCTTTGCTAGGGAAGATTTTGGTGGTGGTGACATTAACGCATCAGACACTGAAAAATGCGCCATTGAAACACCAACAGCGGCTCTTTGCTGCCTGAGGGCTTCTTCTTGCTCCTCTAGTTGTCTCTTCTGTTCTTCTATTTGTTTGTTCAATTCTTCCAACATTTTCTGCTGTTCCACCAAGGATGAGGTTGTGGATATGTCAGCCACATACGAAGCGGGTGTTTCTGAAGTATTGCTTTTAGTGTCTGTGTACATTTTGTTAGGTAAATCATCAACAGTAACTTTTGCTTCTTCCAAGATCGTTTCATCTTCTGGATCATAGGCCTCGTCCTCTAGTTCTGTTGTATTACACGGCTTTTCCACATTATACAGTCTCTCAGTTCCACCAGTCTGTGTTTCAAAGGCTTTCTCTGGATCATATTCTTCTTCAGGATCATATGGTCTGTCATCTTCCTCCTCTTCTATAGCTCTGTCTTTTGACATCTGTCCAAACTGCTGTACGATGGGATCTAACAGAGGAACAGCTGGCAACCCTTCATTGACAGGAGCTTTAGCTTCCTGATTTGAAGGCTGGGCACTTTCAGAATCTTTCGCGAGGGGCTCAAAAGCTTTCTTCTTTCCAAAAAGGGTCTGAAGGATGTGTTCGAGCGGTGTGGCAGTTTTGGAGGAGGAAGAATTGGTAGAGGTAACACTTGCAGTAGCAGGAGTTGAAACTGGYGGCGTCCCAGTAGTTGGGGCTCCAGTTTTAATCGAGGAGAGTATTTTTAATACTGAAGATGTAACTGTTGAGGTTTCTGGAGCGGGAAGTGGAGGTGGAGGCGGAGGTGATCCAGGTGGTGTTGTACTTACAGCTAAATCTCCGGAATAAAGTGTGTATTTTGGAGTTTTCTTTTCTTGCAAAGACAGAGGACCTTTAGAGAACAGTGATGTTTCAATTTCCTCTTGTGTTTGAATTCTGCTTCGCTTTTCCTCTGTCCTTTCTGTATCCACAACAGCAGCAGGACGTTTTCCTTTCTGACAGATAACTAATCCAAGAATTAAATTTGGACGAGATGACTCAAGACCTGAAAGAGAACACAAAGATTTTATGTGTAAATTTTTTTTTGTTTGCTTTTTCTTTCAATAGAAACCTATTTTATACAATGGCAGCGACAAAAATCATAATAAGTTTTCTAAATAGCATTAGATAACCTATTGGCAATTTTCATTAGTAAATATGTATATATATATTTCTTTAAAGAAATGCTTTGTCTCTTCTCTTGATATTTTTAGTAAGATACACAACAATGGGTGCAACTATTAAATAGTGACTTTGCAAATATCTCTAATGCCCCAAATCAAAAAATGTATTTCCTATTACTACATCCTTTTAATTTCCCTGCCCTCAGAAAAATCACACTTTAACTTTTAGATAGTGTGAAAATATGTAGTACACACAGAAATAATAAAAAGTGAGAAAATCTGGGGAGGCGATCTAACTTTCTACAGGGCAACATCCATATTTAACAATCAATAAGTAAACACACACAAGCTASAACAAAAAACACACTGAAATATCTGTAAGGCTTGGGAATAGAATTATTCCTTCACAAAAGTTTCAAACCTGAATCCCTGGAAATCTCTATCTAAAAACAGTGGGAAAGTTTCTGGTAAGAGGAAAAACAACCTTCAAAGGGCTGTAGGTCTGTTGCATGGTATTGTATTTCTTCCTCTTTTGTGCACAGTTCCCACTGGTAGAAGACAATCACGTCCAAAACAAAGGGTAAGGGAAGAAATCCATTTACAGACAGTTGGTGGAAACATAGAATTTCTTTATAAAAGGTTTTGTTTGTTTGTTTTTTTAACTTGGGGTTTARTGACTTCTATAAAATCCTCATTTAGAGGAACCTCATTATTTAACTCCATCTAGGAAGCAGTAATACAGAAACAAACAACAGGTAAAGTAATATAAATACCTTCCATGTTTAAATAGCAAGGCACTAAAATCTACATTTTCTTCTACTCATAATCCTTGCAGGAGTTTTACAAGCATATTATGCTCACTTATGTATATCTTCATTATTAAACCAAGGCAACTATTAAGTTAAGAACAAAAAAATCTAGTTATTAGCACTAAAAAAATTCTTGTTAAGAGCAAAACACCCTAAAATCCATAGTAACAGGTATGTTCCATTAATGAATCATTAAGACAAAGGAGGCAATTTTTCAAAGAAAATGTGTTAACTTGGAAATCTTATGAGATCTCTTGGCAACTAAGGGAAAGCAAACCCTCCTCAAAAATTCTGTATACTTGTGATGGCAACTCAAACAGTACCGTGAATCTCTTTTAAGCACTTAATGAACAGCACAGCAAAATCTGCTTAGTCACTTGAAATGGTCCTGTCAAAGGCCCAGACAAAATTATTAGGGAAATTCTGAGCCTAATCTAAAATATTTGCTTGAGAGATTTCCTGTTAGAAACTGYTCTTATTTTAAGTATGAGGTGAAATGAAAGTTAAGGAAGAGCTTTTGGAAGGCAGTAGTTTTGCAGAATGCATTTTAGTTCCAAAGTGAAAGTCTAGAACTAAAATTATTTCACAGTTTCAGTGTTCCTAGTTTTACCTAAATTTGCAGTTGGACATGCTGTTATTCTATATGGTCCATCACATACATAAATGTGCACCCATAGGAAGAGTATGGATGCTAAGATGCTAATCAAAGTAGCTAGGACAGGAACCAAAGTAGGAATTATTTTCAGGGAGTCTAAAATTATGAAGGAAGAATTATTGCATAAATCCTCCAAATATAAATTCACTTTCATGCATGGCTTAGAAGCAATTCTAGCAGTTCTGCTAACTATAATTTACTACCTCAAACAAACTGTTAACATACATCATTAATAGTTCAACAGTAAGGCAAGTTAATTAGGAAAATAAATTATTCACAAAATAAGTCTTCTTAGATTGTAGTAGAGATTAGAGATTGCAGTAGTTACATATAGCTCACTGTTTGTCTGAATTTCTTTTTTACTTTTATCCTTTATCAGTACATGAATAATGAACACACATTTGGTCAGTGTTAACTGTAAATGCAGAGTATATCACAAATCCGTGTTTGTCTAAAAACTACTAGTAGGCATTTACAGTTCTTCTGCCTTTAACATTTTAGTATCTACTTGTAAGTACTGTCTCAAGTGACATATGATTAATAAATGTGATTAGACACATAGATCTCAAATACTGAATAACTGAAATAATTTCCAAAAAAACTCACACGGGATATATATAATGAACAGCAGTGACTGAACAAAAGTTTTGAATCCCTGTGCTAAGTTATTTAAAGAAGAGCTATCCTGTTGTGTATTTGAAGGCCACATCTTTGTAATACCCAGATCTTCACTCCTTACCATCAACAAGTGGTAACAAATCCCCTGTGCTGTTAAAGATAGAAGCGCAGGAGATTTCTGTACACTGATGGCACAGCACACCTGACTACAGTATATATTTTTCAACTTAAAGAGATGAAAAGAAGCTACTGTTTAATCATTATCACAGCTGTTTAAGCACTTGTGCCATCATTCAAGTATCAGTTAAAGAAATTAACTTAGGGATGTACATCATGTCCAGCACTAACACTGCTGTATTCTAAATTTGCAGAATACAACATTTGGCAAAGAAAAAAAYGTGCTCCTTAGGCCATGTTTTTCTAACTATTGTTTATTTTCACAATAATATCTGCTGAGAAGAGGAAAAAGGCTAATACTACACAGTTACACTTGTTTTGCTCCACTTGCTGCAATTTGTAAGAGTATTCTCAATAGCATGAAAAGATTTCATGCCTTCATACTCCTTTGCTACTAAATTCTTCAATAAATCACTCCTATTTGTGTTTTTCCCATTGGCAATTAAGGCTGACTGATCTTTTTCAAATTGCTTTGAGATATTTAGATAAAAGTGCTAGATAACACAGTACGTGTGTATATGAAATACTCTGACAAGTAAATCCACAAATAATTATCTCAGCTATTTTAAGTATAAAAGCGGCAATGGAAGGATTCCGCAGTTCTACAAACACCTATGTTCCAGTTTTTCTGTAGAGCTCCTGGATACTACAGCAGTTCAGGACCCCTCAGCTGYGTTTCAAATCCAGTCCATCAGAAAAAAAGAATTCCTATTTACCTGATGGAACTGCTTGATACATCTGGAATACCTTCCAAGGAGGGTTTACGGCGCGACAGGGTTGGCTGTGCCTCCCTCCCACCCTGGTCAGTCGTATTTACAAAGACACCTTCACTATCTAGTCTATCATTACTGTGTTCTTGCTAACCTCTATTTGAAGGTACACAAATTTAAGGAGACAATGACCACTTTCCATAAAATATTTTTATTGATTATGTAAGAAGAGCAGGAAATTCCATCAGATAGCATTTAAAAGTATGGATTACATGTCTTTTGTGCTGTGGTTTCAATGCATGCACACAGAAAAGCAGCTTACCTGATTTTTTTTTTTTCCACCTTATACTGCATTCCAGCTTTAAAGCCGAACATCACTTCACACAACTACGAGGCAAATACTTCTCCAAAAGCTTCCATGTGTGAATTGATGGCAGAAGACTAAGCGGGTCTTTTATCAGTCTTTTAAAACATATGTCCTCTCTGCCTTTGGAACCTCGTATCTACTGCTATCCTTTAATCCTTTTTGCCTACAGATGTTCATTTCAGTTTGAAAAACTGACTCAGAAAATCTGCCTCCATGGATAAGGCCTGCAAATGACACCTATGTTTCTCCTAAGTAATTCCCTTAAGAGAAACTTTTTTTCTCCTAACTTTTTTCCAACTCAGTAAGATCAAACTGTCAAGACAAATTCCTATACACCAAAATGTGGCCCTTCTGAACTTAAGCTCTGAGAATCTTTTGTTGAATTTCATCCTGGACTTCTGTTGGGAAGCAGAGGTCAGTCAGCTTCTCAGGAACACCAGCTCACTGTGTCTTCTGTACCCACTTCTAAATATAGTGCAACTCATTACTATAACAATAAAATATGAACCTCATTGTTACCTGTAATTCTTCGKCTCCTCATTCTTTTACTAAGCAAAAACTTGTTTGGAAACTAAGAATATGTACCTCCTGCACCCRCAGATGGTGACGACCTCAAATTCTGCAGCAGAAATGTGTGTTTGATGGTTGAATTCACTCCCAATTCTTCTGTCACCATGTTCAAGCACACCCATGGAGGAAACTTAACTCAAACACTGCTATTGGTAATTTTATTAAGGTTGTATGACTGTAATATAATCCAGCAATGTCAACTATTTTCTGCCACCTACTGACCCAGTGGAGAAYGGATTTTATTTATTTTAAACAACCCTATTTTCGGAATTCAGTGCTTTGCCTAGTTTCCTCCAACAGAACATAATATTTTCAAACACCTTGTGCAAGTGTATTTGCACACATGACATCATACCTGACAATGAAATCAGAAGAGTTTTTCCCTTTGTAGATATGCACTCCTTTGCTGGCTAAAGAGCTTCCCACTTGCTTTACACTGCAGTGTAGAGCTTGTCGTGTTTTGGACAGATTTATCTTGATGCAGAGTTGTGTGTTAACTTATTCCTTATTGACATACTTTAAAAATTTTTTTAACATAATTTAAAAAATACTTACACTGAACACTAAAAGATACTTTATCTCTRACTGATTCTTTTCCATGATTTTACCTATCATTTAACCTCCCCTGTTTTGTGCTTACCTGGTCCCTCAAAAGGCAAGAGTTTGGAGGGAATTGGGTCCTTAGCACTCAGTGGGATCAGGTAGAGGTCCTTGACATGTCTGTTGTTATTAGCTACAACACCAAAACGACCACGACTGCTAAAATAGGAGTAGAGAGAGATATAGGCAACTTCTTCCTCTTCTGTTGCAGGATGGAAACGAATCAAACATAACTCCTGGAATACAAAAACAAAATGGCAAAAGTCAACYTGTAACACTCCACCAAATAAAGTGATAGTTGGAAAATTCTGCGGGGTAGTGGTGTTGTGGGGAGAGGAAAAAAAATCACTCTATACAATTTTACCAATCCAACTATGTTTTCAAATTGCTATTTTAGGTTTCAGAGAATAATGTTCAATCTGTAATTCTACAACAGAATTAAGTTCAGCAGAAATACATGTGTATCCTGTACCACATCTTGAGGCCCTGAATATTTGATTTAATATGAAAGAAATGGAAAATTCTTAGTTTCATGATTTTATTTGCACAGTGTGCTTCCTTTTTCACTTTTAAATTGTTTGAAATAGTAGAATCTATTTCTACTTTTTTAAACCTAGGTTTACATTTACCGTACTGAATAAATATATTAGGTTCAATTTTTATAACTGGATAAATAATAAGAGTAAGTCATTGTACAGGGAAGAGACCAAGATGATTTTCAGGTCAGTAGACAAACATACTAAAAAAAAGATAAATTTTAAGCACGTAAGAGGTGGTGGGAGCTTGCTGTTTCATTTATATTATAAAGAGCTCTTATTTTAAATCATTGTATTTTTCTGCTAGATTTTGCAAAGGATTTTAAGTGAATACCTTAGAAAGTGAAGATTTGAGTTTGCCAACGTAATCCCAGACTGTCTTCGGTGAGATCCTCCCACCAATATGAATTGTATCTGGTAAATCCTAAACGAGAAGTATTACAGGGTAGTGTGAGAAAAGTGCAGAGAGACTAGTGTAAAAGCAGTGCAGACTGCCCCATCCCAGTAGCCTAGTGGAGTGTTATATTTTAATAAGCTTTCATACACCCTCTTCTCTAATTCACACAGCTTATTTCAAGGTGACTAATTATGGCACCCTACCAGAAGGGTAAGAGCGGAGTTAAAACAGAGAAGGCAATTCCAGACAAAGATAGCAGCAAGTACTTTTGTTCACCCATCAGCTAAATACATTTCTCCGCTTTGTTTTGATAGGAAAGTCACTATTTGTAGTACATGATTTTCCGCATACTTTCAGATTATCAGGCAGTTATGCAATCATGACTACGGGCAACAAGAATTCCAGTTAGATTCCTGTCATCAGGACAGTGAATTCCTTTTTAGCAAAGCCAATGAAGAATCACTCATTTTACAATTTAAAAGTTCTTAAACAAACGTATGAAACCAGACTTCACAGTCCCATAATATGTACTTTCAAGAGAAAAATAAAATTCTCTGTGTTTTAGTATATGCTTTTAGACTACCAGATTATTTGAATGCACTCTCAATAAAATAGCCACCCAACTGTGTCTTTTTTCTTTTTTTCTTTTTTGAATTTTATAAAAGGACAATAATATTTGTTTTTAATGAATGGCCTCACAAACTTTTTTACTAAATCACATCAGTGATTCACCTAGTGTTAGAGCAGGCTAATTTATGATATTGGTTCAAAGATAACTGTTTTAATTACGGCTTTTAAGACCTCTTTTCAAAGAGTGAAGTTGAAACACAGCTATTGTTCCTGTAAGACACTAATACGTGTACAGACATATTAAAAGACATTATAAATTTGTGAGGAATTTTTTAAAAGCCTTTTTTTTTTTTTTTTTTTAACTATGTTTCTTATTACTAAAGGGGTGCCATTTAGCACTGTTAAAATCCCAATACAACAATATATCAATGCTTGCAATCATTAGAGTAATAGGAACTGCAGTATAGGTTTATTCTAAATGCATAAACACATTAGTTCTAACCTCACTAAGGTACTCAAAACACCCGGAGACAGGATATGCTTTAGTGACAAATTTGGCSACGCTTTGCATGTTGATAAATCCTTTCCAAATGGTGTTAAGACGAGAGAGAAAGAGAGARGTATCTCCATCTTGAGGTGAGCGTGACTCTGCAACACTGCAAAACAAACCCAGAATGAAAGGTTATCAACTATGATCACTATCTTCCCCTCCCTTATTTTCCCTCCCTTATCCAATTACTGTATTTTAATCACATAACAGAATTTTTACTAAATGTCTTGTCAATGTTTTCCATTAAGTGCATATCAGTGAAAAAAGTAAGGAGCAACTGAAAATAAAATCAAAGGTGTGGAGAGATAAAAGGATGATGCTAAGAGATATGATTTTAGGATTTTTTTTTAAATAAGATTAGGCTAATACTATAACTATTTGTGATCTTGACTCTACAGCACTACAAATATTGTGATTCTGATTTACAGTAAACTAATCTGAATTAACATATCTTCCACTAAAAGAGTCAAAAACATGCATCTGAAGATTATCATGTTAAGGGATACAAACACAARTCTTTTAACTGTCGTTTCATGTTTAGGTATCAGAGTTTTGGGACAGACTGAGATGTACACTCATGCAAGTGCACACAACCACACAGCAACACCAAGACCTTGAGGACGAGCACAATTTAGTAGTTTGTCTTATTAAATATACGCACTTGATATTGGGTGAATGAGCAACCGACAAGTATCTCGGATCTGGAGAGGAGGCTGGTTTGGTTAATATGGACTTGGGGACAGTCACGACTGGTTTTGACACTTCCTGTTTTGCTTCCCCCACGGAAACCTTGTCCGATGCAGGACGCAGCACTGCCGTGGTAATGGCTGAGGAGCCGCTCACTGCTGTCCGAGGGTCCCTGCCAGAAACTGTTACTGTTGTGACAACTCCTCCTGTGCAAGTGGCAGGGAAAGCAGAGGCTTCTTCAGGTAAAGAGGAATCCACACTGTTATGGGCTGGTGCTGCAGGAACGTAATTTCTTTCTAAGCTTGACTGAGAAACGGATTCTGCTACAGCTCCAACTTCAGGTTCTGCTGTGTYCTCAGAGATGGCCTCTTTGGCTGGCTCTAAGGTTGCTGTGGAACCTTCATGCTTTGGCTGAGCTTCTGGTTTTGATTTTGAGTCTGCCTTTTTAGCAGAAGCCACTAGTTTTACTTTCTTTGATGGTGGTTCATCTTCAGATGCTGAAATCTGACCTATAAATTCATTTTAAAAGTTTTTGATTATTACTGGTTTCAGTGATAAAATATGTTGAAGAGAAAAACAGACAGATAGATAAGGCCCTTAACATAACAATTCTTTTACTTTGTACAGTCAGCACTGTAGATACCTGTGCAGATTTTGCAGTTCAGGTCAAAAAGATGGGCTCGATGCTGACTTGTCGTATCCTTCAACATACTGCTAAAAACATCCAGGGAAGGAGCACTGTTCAAATCAGGTGCATTTCGGGCTGACTCTTGCTGCTCCTAAAAGTGAACACATACACAAAAAACATTCTAGTTGATCATCAGTTTCAACTAGAATAAAATACTTTGGAAACTGTTTGCTACTTAAAAGCATGACAAAAACACTTTCTCCCTTGAGAAGCATTTTTAAAAATCAGTATGAAATTCTGAAACATTATTTCTCCTTTATTGGTGGTAGACATGTAGCACATAAGATAAAGAGTGCTTAATTTAAATCTGCCCTCCTTTTAACCCAGTATGCTCTGAAGTAAATACTATTGTACTAAATGCTTCCTCAGTATAATAAATAGTGATAYTACTATTTTGGAGAAAGAGCAAAAAAAAAGCTAAGGACAGCTAATAGTCAGAAATAAGAGTTTTCTCTATATACATCAAGAAAAAGAGGCCTGATAAAGCATGAGATTTTTCAAAAGTATATATGTCCATTGTTTACTTGTGCTCCTTCAAACTAAAAGGAAAACCTTCATAGCACCTATTGGCACCTTTTAGTTTGATGAAACAATCTCACTTCTGATAAAAGCATATAGTCCTGATTACCATTTATCTTTCCTGACGCTTTCATGCTGGAGCAATTCCTAATACTTACGTCAGAATCAGACAGTGGTGGAGAATCTTCCATATTCATTTCTGACACATGTTCTCGTTTTACAACTGGTTTCTTGACTTCATGAGGTTTATTTCTTGACTCTGCCATCTGAGATAAATAAGAAAGCTTGGTAAAAGAAATCTGCTTATTTATTTTATAGTACTATTGTGCACTTTATTATCTGTTATCTCCGTATTTGCTAGTAGTGCAGAAACAGTTCGGTCACTGAAATTTATTAGCAGTTGATTGGAATGGTATATAAACATAATGTGGGAAATGACAAGGGTTGTTAAACTCGCCCTTAATTCATATTTACAGACATRCTGGAAAACTGTACTACTTACTGCTTTGCTTGGTTTCTCTTTCCATACAGATAGTTCTTTAGACAGAAGTTCTTCTGGTTTCATTCTCACCAGCTTTGACAGTGAAATTTCCTCACGAAGAACACGGTGAAAAAGTCCCTGAAAACAAAACACACTATGTTGTTATGCCAAAGAAAACCTGCTTAGATAACTATTATCTACAGTACAGAAGAGAAAATCTTTTCCAATTTCTTAATTTCCTATTAAAACACCAACTAATCATAAGCAAGGAGGAAAAGGTGCAGCAGCAAGAAAACAACAGCCAAATCCCCATTACTAAAAATAATTCTGACATATAACTGGATAGGAATTTTGGAGACTAAACAGCCCCTCCCTGTTTCATATCTATTCTAGGAATTACAGAAAGAACATAGTTTCAAGTCTTCACTAGTCAATGTTTTCATCTGCATCCATTTTCTTTCTTTTAAAAGTTAAATGTGATTACATACATAAGTARCATCCAATATGTTGGATGTTACATCCAGAATGCTACAGGAGGAGAAACAAGTAAAATCTCCATTTATTTTTTAAATTAACATTCTGCAAATAAGTATTTCAAGCAAAATATCTGTACTTTTTCAATTTTTTAAATTTTTTGAAGATATGAATAGCTTTAGAATAATGTTTTACAGCAAAATTAATAAATCTTTATCTGAAAAACTCTAAAATACTGATATGGGTTTGTTAGATACCATTAAAAAGAAATTGTCTAATTAAGCACGTTTAATTTTTAAAGGAAATTCCAAACCTGATTTTTAGGGTCCTTGAGATTGAACATGATGCTACGGTATTTACTCTTGTAGCGGTTGTCCGTAACTTGGAACAAATTAAACATCTCCTTTTCAATATTGAGTGCTATTCTCCCTACTTCGCTCTCTGTCATGACCAGATCATCACTATCATTGACTCTGTTTAAAAACAAACAGAACCCCCCCCAAAATATTATTATTCCACTAAGCACTATCTCATAAATTCAACTATACAAATTGTAAATAAAACATGCATAAAATAGAATTAAACAGGACTACTTATTTATATCTGTTGTAGGTTTAGTATTGGGATACTCAAGATTTCACACAGAACTTTTTTTTTTCCCAGTACTACATAGTAAATATTAAAACAATATTTACTTTTTCCTCTAATAGAGCCATTTATTTTTTAAACAACAGCTAGCAAACCTTTGAAATCACATGATGTTTTACCTACAGCGATAGCTGCATTGCAGCCAGAAGGCCAAGCTAAGGATTTCAGAGCTGGTCCATCAATATCCCCCAGGAAACAGCAGAGGACAGACAAAGGGAAGGTGCCCTTTGCAGAGAAGGCAGCTGACTTTCCACATCAACAAGGATCCAGAGAATCCTTTAAAAAAAAATCTCAAAGCCAAATTCTATCACAGGACCTGGAACTCCAGCATCTTCTCTCTGGTCTCCATAGGTAGCCATGGAAAACAGGTTTTATGAACTGCTGCCAGCCTTTACGGCCAAGCGCTCTTGCTCAGGGCACTGAAATTGGGGGTTTCTCTGTCACAAACTCCATAGGATGCCTAAGCAGTTAATCTTCATTCCTGGATTCCCAACTGTGAGCTGCAATTCCATTTAAGAGGCACTTCGGAAGCCCTGAGGGCTGCCGATAGCTTTAACAACCTGGACAGGGCATTCTGTGTTTTGACTTTAGCTTGTCCGCTTAAAAGATTTTCTTTTCTATTTTAAAAGGGGGAAGAAGTAGATCTGTACCTCAGCAAGCCTCTGACCTTCTACCATGATGTACTCTAACTGGGGAACATATGCAAATAAATGTTTCTATGCCATGATTTACCTCTTYAAACTATAATTGTTGTGATATGACCAGGACAGGGTGGCTTCCTACTTAAGGAGTTTTCAAATGGACTATCATTTGGAATGGGGACTTTTTTTCCCCCTTATATAAACCTGAAATACCACAAATTTCATTCACAATATCCCATTGTCCCGAGTTAAACAAAACTGCTCAGTCTAAACGTTTATTTCCAGCTGTAGCTTTCTATATAAAACAAATGCTTTGAAATCCCACCTCTTCCATAAAATTTCTTTGAGGGACCGTCGAATATTCTGTCGAATCTGAGAGTTGGGCTGTGACTGGCTAGGGCTCACGGATGCTCTTACTTGGCTACTTCCAGCTGCAGGAGATGTGGAAGACAGTGAAGGCTTTTTGAGGCCTCCACCCAGACTGGAAGATGCAGCTGGTTTTTTAGAAACCGATGAAGCAGGAGGAAGAGAAGAATGTTTGGAAGAAACATTGCCTGATGGAGGCCAACCTTTCTTTGGAATTGCAACTTTTACACTTCCAGCAGAAGGTTTAACTGGTTGTTTACTTAGTGATGTGCTAGAAAAGGATGGAGGCTTCTTTGAAGCAAGATTTTTGGTGAGTGAAGATGCCTGTTTCTCCATTGTAGATGCTGAAGCTACAGCTTTCTTCAGTGCTGGTGAAGGTTCTCCTACTTTACCTTCATTCTTCTTCTCTTCCTTATGAGCTATTAATGATAATAGAAAAAGAAAAGAACAAACACCATTAAAAGCTTAACACCAATGTTAAAGTTCTTTTAACATCAGTGTTAAGAATGGAAAAATGTAACACAGTTATTGCTCTATTTAAATAGTAAATGACTTTCTATTAATGACGGCTAGGTACCAATCTATAAAGAAAAGTCGAAGAAATAACATCTTCAGAGAATCTCTCCAGAGAGATCTTCGCCAAAGCTAACCGAAACGTTTAAAACATCTTCATTTCAGCACAAGTTTAAAATTTCTTCCCAAGTTATGCAATAAAACTGAAAAAGGCACCACCTTCAAAGATTCTCGAGAGGAATTTCAGGGTCAATGCAAGTCACCTTAGCAGAGAAAAATTTCAGAGCAACTTACAGAGCCAGTTTATTACAATACCTGAGCTGAGTAAAGTCCATGAATACAAATTGGAATTAATATATGACTAGAGCTCAGCATTATTAAGATTAAAAACAAAAGTCTAGAGAAGACTTTTTTTTAAATGGAATCAAATATAAAAACATTAACATCCTTGGACTAATTTTCAAAGCCAATTATTACTAGCATGATTATCATACTGATGTTACTATAAACTATTACTAGAACTTCCCATTCAGTACCTAGCTAAATTCTAGATTAATCATTACAATCGTTGCTCAGACTATGGCCACCTAACTCCCATCATTCTCAAACTATTCCATTCACAAGATCCAAATTTGCTATTCAAATCAAACATTTTTTTCCATCATTAAGTGAATAAAATATATAGTATACAAGAAAATGCAAAGTATGCATTTACTTGCATATACAAGAAAATACAAGTATGCAAAGTAAAGGCTCCAGTTTTCGGTATGTGATGTAGTTCTACTTGCACAAGACTTTCAAAATAATGATTTCTTTGAACTGCATTTCACTTGTCCACCTTCTGGCATGTACAGGAATAATTCAGTAATAACAAGACAAAGAAAGAAAAGGCAACCCATGCAACAGCTTAACCTTTCTCTCTAGGTAAAGCTCCAGTATATTTGGACTGTTTGCATATGCTTTCAGCAGGGAAAATTGCTCATTTTACACAAACAAGCTCCTAACTCCCTTAAATTGTCTCTCACTGCCAGAAGCTTTGCCACAAGTACACAAAGTGGTGCTAAGATAACTAAAGAGCAATGTTCTACTTGTACTTCTATGCTGGAACACAAGAAGAATGCAAAAAATTGACAACTACTACTTAATACCTTTTTTTTTTCCTAAAATTGTATTTCATGGGGACATCTTCCTGATCTTTTCTCGAGATCAAAATGCGTGAAATGTAAAACAAAAAACCTACCATCCTCCATTAAGTAATTTCAAAGAATGTCAAGAATTTGCCATGAAGTAGAATAAAATGATCTTGCTCACACTATTCCCATATTGCTCCCTAGATAATTTTTGGTTTTCTGGTTACTGTCACAGATTGAACCTGAGCTAAAGACACGTTAGTATGACACACAGAGTCTTCTCATGTTTCTCCCCTCCCCACAGTCTACTACTAACCCTCTACTACTTGTCAGGATGATTTCACCAATAACAAGGATATATTGCTTTCAAGTATAAAAACGATAGGGAGACCAGGTGCCATTCTTGATGTTTTGACTTGGCCAAATTAGACACCCTGACACTTAACAGGCAAAAAGCTAAATTACTTTAATAGCTTTGAATAAGGAGAAAACAAATATCCAGAAGTTCTCCACTGACAAGGCTGCAAAAATTATTTCCATTCCCTTCCCTGCTTTATTATATAGACAATTTTTATATTTTTAGGGAGTAAATTGAAGTAAGGGTCCAGCAGAACAGATATAGAAGCATCCATTATTCTGCAAGTTGGCATTATGACTACTTAGAAAGGCACGTAATTCTGCATTTCAGCAGTCACCAGAAAGTATGCAAGTATTTCCAAAGCCCCATGAAAATTGATCAATTCAGTAAACCACAGTAACGTTTTATACCAACTAGAACTCTCTATGTGATAGTACTTGATTACAGAACTCCTCCTACAGTTCATGTTTTGYGTCCTAATGACCAACCCCAGTGTATACAGGTTACTCAGGGTCTCAAAAAGGCCTACCAACCATTTTCCTCAAATTTAAGAGGATATTACACTACTGTATTTGGAAGACACAGTGAAATGGGGTACCCGTTCTGACAAGGTATCAGGGCCCTTAAAATCCTACACATGCACATAACCCTTCCTAATCAGCAAATGAACTCAATCCTAAAAAGAAATCCTATCTTGACAGGGGATTATTTATACCAGGGAGAAGAGGGACACCAAAATTTTTGTCCCACCACRTTTATGTTTTCAGTTGACAGGATTAGTCTTCTGCCGGACCAGCCAGATAACCAGCTCTGCTCTGTGGTTCCAAGGTGTTGGGTGCAAAGCAGGGGAGGGCAGGARGACACAGCCAAAGGAGGAGGTTGGAGTGGGACTGCCTCTTCTGGCAGCAGCTTCGACTGACCCGGCTACAAGGTGAAACCACATCCCATGCATTACACCTTCTGACACACATAAAATTGCTGCAATGGGTATTTTCCCCAGGAGCAGCAAGCCAGCTACATGTGTGGAATTTCACTTCAGAATACATGGTAGAGTCAGTGAGCAAACTGAGGAGACATACAGAGGTAGAGAAGTTTTCTCAGAGCGGGATGTCTCGCTTGGAGGAGAGGGCGCAGTCACTGCCTATTGCAAACACAGAGGCCACTGTGCTTCGTGCTGCAAGGTTTCCACTTCTTTCAGTTGCGGCTCCAGTGCACTGATGCTAGAAATTCTCACACCAATGAGAAAATAAAAATATAAACATATTCCCAGAAGGATGGTTTATCCAGCCTAACAGGTACAGTCCCACCACAGAATATAGATCAGTCTAAGAGGCAGAACTTGGTGCTTCTAYTCCAGCGCTTCTCAACACACAGGTACAGTGCCTCTTGCTTGATGTTAGGATAGTCAAATAGGTAGAAAGCAAGTCCCCTTTCCCCATTCTGTCCCGTGCACTGCTTAGGAGGAGGACGACACCAACAGGACTCTTGATCCCTGGAGAGAGGAATGGGCCTGAGAGACTGAGGTACAGCTGGAGCTAAAGAGTCACCTCATGCCCACAGTGAGACCCAGAGACAAATCCTCAGGCRGAAAAACCTCCATTCCTTTTAATTCCTTTACAGCATTCCTATAGGATGTCCACCGCAGACTTAACTATGATCTTTCCCACTGTCAAATGGGTACAGAACCCTTCCCTTAAGGAAATTCCCATTTAAAGTCAAGCCAAATAATGTAACATGCAGAAAGGAATGTAATTCTGTAAGGGGGAAGACACTATAACTGCACCTTGTCTACCGTGTTACAGTATCAGCTTTTGGGATGCTTGTTAGCTAAGTTAATACTTCACTTTCATGGCTCTCAACATTAATGTTTTAGGATTGTAGTATGGTGGTTGAGGCTAATTTGAGGATGGTTTTCACAGTATAGTACTGTTTGCTGTTGTGTGAAGTACTGGAAGGACACACTCATAGCAGAGTCTCACCTACATGGGGAGGTTGGGTTTTTCACCACCAACTGGGAAATTATCAGAAGGAAACTTTGTTCTTCCTAGAAACTCCCCAAAATATTTCTAAGGAGCAGACAACTCCATCCTAGTTCTTTCACTTGTCCCCTCCCCTGTCATCTTCCTTACTTCAGAATAGTAACTTTAGAAAAACATCACCTCCTCCCTCCCCAAACACCACACACCAATTGAAATTGTCTCAATTTAAATTATCTTATTTGTGAATGGGTTATTTTGCTGGTGATATTATCTAGCTATTGCAGTTTTTAAACATCCAGAGTCTGCTATTCCTGTTGCTGTGTTTAAAATTTCCCAAAATATAGCGCAATGCAAGCTCTTGAACATCTTGCTCTAGCCAAAGCTGAAGGATTTAACATGTGCTGTAGATAACCTGTATGCAGTTATGCATGAAATCCTTTCGCAATGAGGAGTTTCTCAGGCACGATTCTTTTCAGAACATCTTCTGAATGAGAAATATCAAAACTAACAGCTCAGAACACTATTAAGGATTAAGAAAAATTTCTTGCAATCGTGCAAGATGGTTCTTACATACTACTAATTTAGAAGTTTAACCACAGAAATGAGAAACTTAGTTTTAAGTCTATGAATAGTCTTATGCTATTGCCTCTAGTATCTYAATGCTGCCAAAGTTTCCAAGTGTCCCCCCACCCCGTCTACACTTTCCGCAGATTTCTTTCCATGCTACAACTTCCTTAAGGAGGTGTGTGGGGAAAACTGGTTGACAGGCGCATCTCACTTGGCTTGCACAGCGCTTTTACACTGTGAGCATTTAGCTAACGGAGTGGGGCACCACTCAGCTAACATGTCAGGTCATCAGACCTCTGAGGCTAGTGAACATATAAGACTGACATGTGAAAATTGCTGAACCAGGCAGGTATTCTAACAGGTATTTTGAGTCTCTACCTTGAGAGAATAGAACACCTTGGCTAGTCAGTATTTGGAAATTAGAAAAGTMATTTTAGTAAAATTCTGCAATATATACAATAAAACTCTAGTGGCATATAACAGCTAGAGATCTATCTACCTTTTAAAGTGGCTYGCTTATTACTCTTAAAAGCGCTTGGTGTCTTTCGACTGCAGATGCCAAAATTAGAGGAAACATTAACTACACTAGTGTAGCTCTGCCCTTCTAGAAGGGTAAAGATAASGGTCAGAAAGTATCCAAAAAAGTCTGTGTAAGGGCTTGTCGGAACTCAGTACCAGTGTTCCTTGGAGAGAGCTAACTTCCAAGGCAAGGAAACAGGGAAAGAGCACTGCCCTGCAAGCCCTGTAAGATCTGATATGAATGCGATAGTGTGAATGGGCCGACGGAAGCAGCAATTAGGTTGGAATCACAAGAGATCACCAGCACTTCGGGTGCCACCTGGCACTGGCTGGCACTCCGCACTGCGTCGCGT